ACTATTTCTTCTATGTTGCTTGTCACTTGATGATGTAGGCGATCATAACCCTCCAAAATTTCCTTTCCTTCTTATCTCTTAATAATATTTTTTTTCGTTATTTCTCCTAAAATTTGTTTCCGATCCAGAAAAAAAAAAGAAATGAGAAATTCCTAAACTGCAACAGATAAAACTTATCAAAAATCTTAGTTTTACTACTAAGTACTCAATGGTTTGCTTGCGAGAAATGGTTATAGTTAATTCTCGATTCAGCGTACCGAAACAAAATTTAACCAATTAGTAAATGACTTAATAGGTAAGCAAGTAGTGTAGCTATGACAGTTTAGTTGTGGCAGCGATAGTACGCGGATTTATGTTATCACAGTTTCATCGTTAAATATAGAAAGATCACAACCAAGGCCGTGACCTGGTTCACTTGCTCCAGGCCTACTACATCTCAATTTTTCATACGGTTATAAAATACCTTTTAAGGGCACCTCGGCGTGGTGTAATGGTTAACAAGCTTGTCTCGCTAGATCAGTTACGACTGAAAAGTGAGTTCGATCCTCACTAGGTGCCCCATACATTCGGCCTTGCGCCACATCTAAGCTACGCTTAGAAAATAACTATAAAATACATTTTAGTGTAACCTAATTATGTACAATAATGGATCATATCCAATGTAGGCGAACAATTAACTTAGAAAAATTTAAGAAAATAAGCAGAATGTATCTAAATACAAATTAGAGACATGTCATAACAGATCAATTGAATAAATCAACAATGTTCTGCAACAATTTTTAGAATCAACTCGAGAATTATCTTCCTAAAAAAATTAATTTAACACATTCAACATTATGGATAAATCGTATATATATAGTGTCTTTTTTTCTTTCTTGATTTAGCATGAGCGAAACAAATTCGTGGATTTGGACAAAAAAAAAGGATCTTAGTATCACGTCAAAAATCGCGATTTTTTTTTCATTCTTTAATAATAACCAGTTGTCCTTAGTTTAATTTGTAACGTGTTAAATGTAAGTAGTCAAAAAGCAAATGTTGATAAGATATCAAAGGTCACAAATCACTGTCAGTGGTTTCCAATCATGCTTGACAACTCTATCTAGGGGTTCATTGGTATTACCCTCTGGCACTGATCAGAATGAGGGGAAACTATTTTGTATGTTTCGATGGTTCTATTTTTTCTCGGGCAACAGTAGCAAGAATATATGCATAAAACCGGATATTGGCGGAACGTGTAAACAGCGGCCATCATCTGGTGTAACAAAATGTGGTCGTTGGTGGTTGACAACAATGGCGATAATTCAACGAAGCAGAGCAATGCATCAAATTTCAGTTGAGTTCAACGCCGGGGTTCAACGATGAGTTGAACCCCAATGTATGACGTACACTCTATGCTATATGTTTTCGTCGACATCGGTAAACAAAGGTATTGACAGGACAACAGCGATAACGTCATTGTATTAGCAATCGGACGCCTTTTTATCTGATTAAACACAACACGGTTCCAAAGTTTTGAACTTTGCGTTGATTTCTCAAGCCGAGCTGACTGTATGAGCATATAGATTAAACCTCCCGTTGGCCGGGTGGGGTGCAAATTGTCGGGTTTTTGCAAAGATCACTAGTGAATTTGGACCCATACTTGTCACTAGTGAATTTGGATCCATACTTATCACTAGTGAATTTGGATCCAAGTGAATATGGATCCACACTAGTGAATTTGGATCCCACATGGATCCATACTTGTCACTAGGGATTTTGATCCATACTGTCACTAGTGAATTTGGATACATACTTGTCACTAGTGAATTTGGATACATACTTGTCAATTTTGGATCCATACTTATCACTGAATTTGGATCCATACTTGTCATTAGTGAATTTGGACCCATACTTGTCATTAGTGAATTTGGATCCATATTATCACAAGTGAATTTGGATACATACTTGTCACTAGTGAATTTGGATCCATACTTATCACAAGTGAATTTGGATCCATACTTGTCACTAGGGATTTTGGATCCATACTTGTCACTAGTGAATTTGGATACATACTTGTCACTAGTGAATTTGGATCCATACTTCTGATTAGTGAATTTGGATCCATACTTGTCACTAGTGAATTTTAATCCATATTTGTCACTAGTGAATTTGGATCCATACTTGTCACTAGTGAAATTGGATCCATACTTGTCTCTAGTGAATTTGGATACATACTTGCTAGGAGTGAAATAAACAGTTTTTGTTGCGGATCATTTCCACACTTTCATGTTCGCTATTTGTACTATGATAACAGATTTGTTTTATGATAACAGGACGTAGACGATCATGACCCTCCACAATTTCCTGTTCCTTGTAGCTTTAAATAAATTCTGTCTTTTAGTTCTTTCTAAACCCTGATGCGTCATCCAATTTCTCAAGCTCGTCAAGTATGTTACAAATCGTTTTCCTCCGTCCTTCTATTTGCCCTGTGAGTAACAGATTTTCCAAGCCATGCTTCCTCGTTATGTGTCAAAGAAATTCCAACTGTCTCTTCCTGATGATAAGTATGTTTCCTTTTCGTTTCCATTTTCGCTAAAAGCTCTTTGTTGCTCATATGTTTGTTCCATGGTATCTCAGCATCCGTCTGTATAGCCATATTTTTGTTGCTTCAAGACACTTCTTCCATTTGAGGAAATTGTCCCGAATTCACTGACAGATAGAAGCACAGATGTAATCTAACAGTTCAGCTCTCTTTCTTTTTTTTTCTTTTTTTTTTTTTTTAACGAAGGTTTTTCTATCTCTTGATATTCTGCTTATCTTTTAGAATGTAGATGACAGGAAACTGAATCCAAGAAGTAGGCTTATTTCCAGACATCCCCTCAGCCGCTGTCCGTGCTAGATTTAACCAACTTTAGACCTCTACACCTACTAAAGACAAAACATTCATGGGGTGCCAGGGATGTTGCAAGAATAAATCCTCATCAAGTCTTGTCGACTGCACGGATCATCACGACTCTTTCTCTCTTTCTTTTTTTTTTTTTTTTTTCTCGATTATCCGGTTAACAAAGATAATGGTAAGACAACATCGATCACTGCGTCATAAAACAACGTAATTCTATTAGTAATCGGGCGCCGTTGTGTCTGGTTAAACATATCCCGATTCTACATTTGAGCCTTCAGGTTGCCATCACGAGTCTTAACATATCTGATAGATGTATGACTTGAATGGGAAACCAACACTCGTTATGTTATGGTGTCCACATCAGAACTCTACTGTTAAATTCGGCGTTACTTCTCTAGAAATCCATCAGAAATGCTACCCTCTCCGCAGTAATCTGTGATATCAGAGATAGAAGATCATAGAGCTGATTTTTTGTGGGGTGCTCTTTATAGAATTGATTCGATGCAACGCGTAACTAGCGAGCACCAAGAAAACAATAAATTTAAACTACAGATCCTCGACGCAATCTACATTAAAAAGTTAAACCCGTCACTTAATAGAATCAACTATGAATACTGTAGTACTGTTCTGAAATGTCTATAAAAAACAGATTTTCACGCTTTAATGCCTCCAGGACCATGATATTACAACACAGAAGAAAGAATCCGTAGTAGATATTTTTGTTCACTTTCTTTGAACGCTAAGTATGACTGTCATCCGTCGCATTTGAAAAGATAAAGAAAATTGCGTAATTTATTGGATACGGCTAGCTTTTTTCTTCCAATCGTTTTTTTCAGTTTTTTTAGCGGTGAAACGAGACAGCAAGTCGTATATGTCTAAGGCATTGACGAAATTGAGTTTCATTTTATCCGTTAGAGCAGATTTTCACACTACAGACAGAGTGTCCGTCGCATGACAAGTTTGCGAATTGTCACATCACTTTGATATATAAGGAATGTTTTGAAAGTTAAATGTTATAGAACAAGAAAGAAAGGAAAAAAATATTTAAAAACGACAAACAGAATCGAACTGAAGAAGAAAAAGCAGAATTCTTTTAGAATAAGAGAAAGTGGAACGACTGAACCATTCAAAAATTAAAAAAAAGGAATTTATAAAGACATTACTGTCAAAATGAAATAAAAAAAACTAAAGAAAAAAGAAAGAAATAATACTCAAAAATGTAAAAGACGGACAAAATGAAAGAAAGCTATAGACCTTTAAAAATAAGAAATATTTTCAAACTGAAGAAAGAGAGAAAGAATTAAAGAGAAGAAAAACAACGGAAAGAAATAAAAGAGAAAAAGAAAGAAACAATTTGCCTTTAAAAACGGAAAAGACAGTGAAAATGAATAAAAAAAGAAATAACAAACGTTTAAAAAGAATAATTATGAAGTAAATAAAGAAAATGTTGAATTGTTCTACGACACGTGATCAGTAGTCAACTTCTACTCCTGTATGGAGTATGACATAACAAATCTTTATTATAACTTTACAATCTGCAGAAGCTTGAAAAAGGTCAGTTATTTAATTTTTTTAACCTTCTTGCCTGGTTGTCTTTCAAATTTTAGCCCGAGCCTGTGTTGCAAAATATTAGATCCAAGTCTGGACAAATTCCGATTCGTCTTAAACATCCTATCGGCCACGACGACATAACAAAAACGGGCCTTTAAATCAATCAGTTATGTGCCATGAGTGATATACGCTTAGGCGATCCTATATCTTTCGACACATGACTGATGAGGCAGATTTTTTTTCCCGCAGTTGATTGTTATTTCTTTCTGCGGTATACCAGTTGCAATCCAAGGTTATAGAACCCGTTCTGTCCTACTATTTACCCATAGCTGGAGGAAGAAGAAGAAGATCCATACCTTTCCCAATGGTATTAGCTCGTAAGTGAATGTAATGGATTCGAGTGGAATTCGAACTCGGCACTCCGATTCCTAAACCCGAACCGCTATCCATATACGAAAATTTTCAGAGTGAAGAAGTTAAGAATAAAGAAAGAAAGAATCAAATATAAGGGAAAGAAGGAAAGAAAGAAAGAATGTAATATACGGGAATGAAGGAAAGAATGAAAGAATCAAATAATCAAATATGAAGGAAAGAAAGAATCAAATATAAGGAAAGAAAGAAAGAAAAAAAAGAAAAGAAAAAAAAGAAAGAAAAAGAAAGAAAAGAAAGAATGTACTATACGGAAAGATTTAAAAAAGAAAGAAAGAATCAAATATAAGGAAATAAATAAATGAAGAAAGAAAGAAAGAAAGAAAGAAAGAAAGAAAGAAAGAATCAAATATACGGGAAAGAAAGAAAGAAAGAAAGAAAGAAAGAAAGAAAGAAAGAAAGAAAGAAAGAATGTACTATACGGAAAGCTTTAAAGAAAGAAAGAATCAAATATAAGGGAAATAAATAAATAAATAAATGAAGAAAGAAAGAAAGAAAGAAAGAAAGAAAGAAAGAAAGAAAGAATCAAATATACGGGAAAGAAAGAAAGAAAGAAAGAAAAAAAGAAAGAAAGAAAGAAAGAAAGAAGGAAAGAGAGAAAAACGGAACTTTAAAAAAGAAAAAATATTTTCAAATTGAAGAAAAAGAAAAAACATTGAAGAAAAAAAAAGAAAGTGGATCAAGAAAAAAAGATACGAAATTTAGAAAGAAAATGCGAAAATAAAAAAAATAAATGAAAATCAAAAAAAGAAGAAACGACATGTACAAACGCAAAACTCTCAAAATGAAAACAAAAAATTGTTATAAACGAAGAATTGTGTCCAAAAGACGGAAAGAAATCTCTACGGAAAGAGGTAGAAATAAAAAAAAAAGCAAAGATTAGTTTCCAAGAGAGATGAGAAAAGAAAGTTCTACCAGAATTGGATCTAGTATAATAAATTAAAAATCATTGCGCGCTTTTCGCGTTGGCTCGCTGTCAGGCGTCACCGAAAATAGGCTTCTTATAGCAAGTGGCCTTGAAGCAAAGTCTGACTCGCTAATAATGCAAGCGATAATTCTCTTTTCACTGTAAAACCCGAAGAAATGTACGTGTGATTAAGTTCTTCTCAACTGAAATTTGATCTTCGCTGCCTGAGGTCTAGTGAAAATGTCAGTACCATTCCTAAGTTTGTGACTCAAACCTGATCTCAAAAATGTTCAGCTGTCGTATAAACACATTATTGACCTCAGGAGATTAGAGCCTTTTTTCTTCCTTATCCACACGTAAGCATGTGGGGACAAGCATGAAGCAATTAAAAGGGGATGACGTTGTCATTCTGTGGCTCAACTGCGAATGACGGAATTTTCCGGGAGTCAAACATATACCAGGCGTTACAGCAAAATTGTCCAATTGTTAGATTAAACTTTGAACTTTTGTATCTAAGAAATTATTAAAAAATATCTTACTAGAATTCTACGAGGTGTTTATAAAACTACTGGACTATACGTTGGGAAATAATAATTACTCTCAAAGCTTAACAGAAGAATCGTGATAAAAATCGATCTTAAACGAAATTGACATGTTCATCATTAATTAATCATAGCTAAGGATCGGAAGCTCATGAATGATCGATATATATATATATATATATATATATATATATATATATATATATTCCAGGATCATTTTACAACTATTTCAAGATGATCTTCGCCCTCTCTAACTTTCTAACTTTTTGTCCTGGAGTAACAAGGTGTCTCAAACGTTTCGCGTTCGATTTCATTTTCAAGTCTCTTTTCGCCGCTATTTGTACTGTCATCGCTGAAACTCCTCTCTCACGTACCAAAAGTCCTATGGATTAAGTTGGATCTTTTCTAGTTGATCGCTTTAGCTCTTAGTTGAAATGATGATCCCTCTTTCTGTTGTGACCTCTTGATCCACTTTTCCTCTCTACTGTTTCCTCTTTTTTAAACTTACCATTCTCTTAATGGTTCTTGAATGGATTTGATGATAGAATCCAGAGTATGATTGTTATACCATTACTGAAGATCTGAATGATCATTTCCATCTTACTATTGTTCAGCTGGGAAGACAGTGGGGCTAACACAAAATGATTTTAACCTCTTCTCTTTCTGGCTGAATAACACAAAGGTTTTTCAGTGATTCATACGACAAATGGTATCAAGATGGCTGAATATCTTGTCTAAAAACCTGGAAAAAAATAAACTCAATAATTAGTTTAGTGGTGTTTTTGGGTTTTTTTTTTTTTTTTTGGTTTTTTTTATATTAAATATTTTCTGGGCTGAATAATAAGGCTGCTACAATGACAATATTTTTCGTTTTATTGTTTGAAATCCAAATTCTGTTCGTTTTGTGAATCAGATAACAAACATAGACGTTTTTCTCTAACCAATCAGTGCCAGGAAATTGTCTAGTGCGAATAACTGTTCAATATGTTTTACCTTCAAAATTTATCATCTGATCGGGAAGATTTTACTAATGAAGTCTCAAATGATGATCTATCGAACAACGATCAAATACACTGTTTCACAAGTAGAGTGTAATGTAGTGAATAGCGGTTCGGAATGCGGAATTAGCGAACCGAGTTCGAATACAAGTAATTTCGTCCCGTTTACTTTCACTTGGGAAAGGTTTAATCCCGTATTTTTTCTGGAAAGTGGTTGATTTACAGGAAAGGAAATAGAAAGAAATAACCCTTCATATGATTTTAGGCATGGAACAAATCACCCCACCTTGGAACAAGTTCGATTATAACAATCGAATTTTGGGGGTCGTATGACACATGAAAGCCTCAAATAAACAGCATTTCATAGGAATAATTGTAACAATACCCACCACAGAGAACCCTCCCTGACTTTCATCAAAATGGATCATGCCTAACTCGTCGAGAGCGCTTCGTTACGCCTGCTTGGTCTCACGCTGTCCACTGACATGCGGTGGGACAAATACATTGAATCAATAGCTTCATCTACCGCAAGAAAAGTTGGTTTCCTGTCTCAATTTTTTCTCGTCTGAGTCCATCCTACGAATCTATAAATCAACCATCCGTCCTTTCATAGAATACTGCTGTCATATATGGTCTGGTGCTCCCGGTGTACGTCTCGAGGTCTTCGACAAAATCCAGAGACGAATATGCAATGCGATAGGTCTTACATCTCTACAACTGCTTTCTCACAGACATGTCGTGGCTTCCCTCTGTCTCTTCTACAAGTATTTTCACAGCAACTGTTCCGACGAGCTACTTTCGCTGGTTCCCAGACTGCAGGAATTTAAGCGAGCTACTAGGCTGACATCTCGGTCCCACCGTTTCACAGTCGAAACGTTTAAATGTAACCGTCTCTTCTACTCAAACAACTTCTTCTCTCTCACTTCCCGTCTATGGAACTCCCTTCCCCCTTGTTTGCTTCCCTGAGAACTATAATCTTCAAATATTCAAGTGTAATGTCAATCGATATCTTCTGATACTTTGATCTTGTTCCCCAGTCCTTCTCTGTATCCTTTCCTCAAGCACGCCTCTTTACTCTTGTTCTCAATCCTCTGTAACCCCATGCGTCCTAGTGACACTCCCGCCTGGCTTGAGAAGAATTGCCAAAAAAAAAGGAAAAAAATGAAAATAAAATAATTCTCCTTCAAACTTTCTTTGGAAAAGCAAAGAAAATGAAACCTGATAACGTTTTATTGATGTTTGATTTAATTCAAAGTGTTGAACAAATTAACAAATGATTACTTGAAAAGATGTTGCTGATTGTTGGCCCAATACGAGGCCCAAGAGCAATTCAAGGTAGAGCCTCATTGAATTAAGCTGTTGAGTGAATGTAAAAAGAGTAGAGGCTGAGAATGCTGATTCTGAGGATATATAGTATGTACCTCCAAGAAAACGATAAAAAAATCAGCATACCGTGATGAAAACATACTTCAAATGAAATGTTACCAGTTTCTATCGTCAAAATCTTTAAACTATTGTTACGAAAAAGGATTAAAGTTTTTTTTTTAATATTTAATTAAAGTTTATACACCTTTTTCGAACATTCGAATTTTTGATTAAAAAATTGTTTTTCCTGCGTCAACGGTTGTACTAACATTTAGCATAGAAAATGTTAGCCCCTTTTCTTGCGGTAAATTGAAAATTCTTGCAAAAATCAACTAATTGTCGGAGTTTAATAAAATCATCAGAAGTTATTCACAAATGAATGAAATTATTTTTTAAATTATTTTATTAGAAAATTTTCGTAAAAAGATTTTCGCTTAAATATGTTTCCCCCCTCCCTTTTCTTAATTTTATGAAAACTTGAGAAAATCCACGTGATAATTTTTTGTGACTATATTAGTTAAAAGCAGAATTTGTGGAAGAATTTAAATGACTGATATTTTTTTCTTGTTTTACCGACAATCTGTTCTGAATCGAAAAATAAATAAAAAATAAGACATTATTTATTAGAGAAGCTTTCAATTTCTTTATGAATAATATATTTTAACGACAATATTGTCTGAAGAAAAAAATCAAAAGATTTGCTTTCATTTTTTACAATTGTAAATTGAATAATTTATAAAGTTTTTAGTTCTTTTAAAATTCAGTTTTAATGTAGTAACTCCTAGGAAATATTGTTATTAAGTAAAACTATATATACTAACCCTTGTAAAGCCTATTACAATCTGATGACCCTGATTATTTTTAAAAGAATTTCGATTTGTTTTTTATATATGTATATACATTCAGAATTTTGTTAGTATGAATGTACAGACCTATAATATTATCATTAAAAGGTCACGTGTTTTAACTGTTGTCACCCACTATGGGAAAAGACCTTCATAAATGTTATCTTCTGATCCACCTTCTAACTCGCTTAAGAAGCGGAAAGGAAACAACAAATCTTGATATCTCTCTGGTGCAATTTCCAAGGAGTACTGCATTTCGCGCTTGTCCCACACGATAGCGGCATCAACGTTAAACTCTATTGCCAGTAGCTTGACCGTGCGTACGGCAAACTAAAGTAGGAGTACCCTGCTTTGGTCAATCGTGGTCGAGCTTTGTTTCAGCAAGATAATGCGAGGCCACACACTGCCAGGTTGACTAAAGAGACGTTCAAACAGATGGACGGTGTTGAGACTCTTCCACATCCACCATTCATTCCTGATGATGCTCCGAGTGACTATGACCAGTTCCGCTCAATAGCACACTTCCTCCGTGACCAGTGATTCAACACTTTAAATGAAGTATAAGGAAGCTTCAGTATCTATCTATATTTCTGAGATGATGTACTATGTACATTATTTACATTATTCGGACTATTGTCCTCATCTTTATCGCCATATTTATTACAAGGTTTCGGCGGTTGTACGCTTCGGCCTTCTTCAGGTGGTTGGAATGTCGAACTGAACCCTTTATTTCGCTCACTGGGGTAGGATGTTCTAGTTCCACGTGCCATGCTTTTAACGGATGTCAGTTATCAGATATCTCCTGTTAATTTCCCTCTGAAAGTTCTTTACTGCCTTAACCGGGTATTGAATTCACACACTTTGGGTCCTGTCACTGGATCTAACCAACGCCTTTATCCACTGCGCCATGTGTCCTTGAGTTTAAAGTTTTTTGTTTTTTTTATCCAAAGC